TAGCTAATTTTAAAGGACGAAGAAGAAAAATATCTGATCACAAATGTCGTTTATTGCGAGAACACACTGTATATGTATATATGGATGGGCACGACAGAAGTTTCCATGATAATAAACAAGACGGGGAAAGTTCAGCAGACATGATGAGACAGAAGGAAACAATTCAGATGACAAGAAGAGCAGAATAGGGTCAACTATATTTATTATGAAGGTGTTAACAAGAAAATAAAAATTCATGTAGCAAGAAGCAGAAAAGACAGAGAACGTGTTATGAGTGAAGGATGCAGTGGGATAGAAATGTTATCGCATGAATCTGTAAATATTGTTACGAAGATTTTCAAGAATATATTCATATCCATGTTTAGTAGTCAATTCGAGACGAAGACTATATTGAAGTATTTTATTAAACCATAAAGAAGGAGTAGATTGTTTTAATTAAAAACAAGATGAGAACTAATAAAAAAAAAATCTAATCCGATGAAAATAATTATCATAATTTATACATTAATGGAATGTATTTTTTGTATAGTTAAATAAGATATGATTAATTTATGGATGGCATTTTCCTTTTAGTTTATTTTAAATTTAAATTCTTACAAAATTTAAAATTAAAATTAATTCAAATTTCTTTAACATGTAAATTTGAATACAATTTACATATATTTAAATTAGTTTAAATCCATATAAATTGGATGTAAATTTTTTAAAATTGGTTTCTCGATTTAATAAATTTTTGTAAATGTAAATTGATCACTCCTAGGTTAATCCTAATATCACCAACTAGAAAGTAGTAGTCTGATTCCCATCTATAATCCGTACGGGTTGAAGTTTAATCTTCAAATAGTGTAGCTGAAATTGCTTTTGAGTAGCATAGTAATTGTAAACATTCTATACAACATATCATTACAAGAAAACTCAAGGAAGAGAAGTTTATCTAAATATGATTTATTCATTTTTTTTTGCATTATTTTATCCTTCTTTTTCCATATTCTTAAAACGTTTCCCAGCATGAGTCACAACTGATTTTGAGATTATATGGATAACAAGAAATATGATAACTAGTACAATGAGTGGCAATTTTCTTTATCAGGTTCGAATTGAAATGTCAACACAAGAACATAAAATGTGGTCCAGATGTTGGGTTCCAAGTGAATCCTAGGTGGTGAAGAAGTATTGATATGTGTTTGAAGCTGCTATATCATATTAACAGTGACTGACTTGAATCAACTAATATCATCTATATATTTTACTAACGTTTCGTAAGAAAGATCTAAAATGACGAAGTTTGTTCTAATATTATGGATGTACAACGTAAAAGTGAAAATGTCTGAGATGTGTATGAACCTCAGGTGGTGATAGGAGAGTTGAAATCTATAATTCTACAAGAGTTCTACATTTGGTGTCATTCTGACGAGTGATCGAAAAGTAACTAAACACAATATTTATTCATTTTTCAATCTTTTAAGAAGCCTGAAGAAATTCGAACATATTTGGTTGATGTTCTTTCCAAGTATGGATTTAAAATTTTTTTAGAACTTCTGATTTCTTCACTACTTAAGTTATATTATTGATTTTTTTTGTACATAGACTTAAAGGCTAGACTAATTTCTACCGAGTGATATAGGAATCAATAGTTTTAATATAAGCATTCAAGATTAGCCGAGTTCACTTTGCAAATTTGTTCTTCAAAGGAATCGAGGAAACTATCTGAATTGGCATGATGTTTCTTACTAGAAGACTTGCTGTTAACAAATGACTTAAAGCTAACTAATCATGCGTATACCATTTCATTAAGAAATGTTTACTCTTTTATTCGCTGTATGTTAAATAATATTCGTTTCTAGTTTGGGTAATTTTTTAGCGCGCTAATGTTTGTCTAAATTTGATTTACGAGCCTCTAAAAGATTAAGTCATAATTTTGGAGCCTGAACTTCTACGAAAATTTCAAAACCATATTCGGAAAAAACATAAAACCAATGTTTTCAAATTTCAGCTCGCTCCTTAAAAAGGCTGAGAAATGAATGAACATCGACGATAAAAATTCATTATATCATAGCATAATGTGAATTTTTTTTGCCAAATAATACATACGTTAATGTCGAAATGATTAATGAAATATTTTAAAAATAATATCAAACATCAAACAAGTTAATTTTTAAGTATTTGATTTATAATTGAAAAATTAAGTTTGTTCAAAAATTGAATATAATATTATTGAATATTGTGCATATTATTTAAATTATAATTAAATGATAATTAATTTTAATTTTCAAATATTTATAAATTATAACCAATAAAAAAAATACTCAATAAATGTTAATTAAATTATTTGAAAAATTCGATAAACAATGTTTTGTTTGTCGAGCAATTATTTCAAGTATTAGTATTATGCGAAAATCGATTCTTGCATCGATAAACATTTGTTTCACTATAATATCAACTATGAACGTAACAATTAAAAAACTTATGTTATATATTTATATTTCACTATAACAAAATTGTTTTTAATATTGTAGTTACGGAAAACACATTCAATTGTCTCTTCATAGAGAAAGAGAAAATTTTATTGTTCTATAAAATTGTTAAAATCAAATCTATGACAAATGTTAAAACAAATAAATTTTATTATTATTTATTTATATGTTATGTCTTTTTAAATTTTTGTCAAATGAGCGCACGTCCAAGAACTAATGGGCCGTTCAGTATTTTGTTGCTACTATTCGTGTTATTTTTCATTATTACGATTGAACTTTATTTGTACTAAAAGATTTCTAATTCAATTTTCTAACCACTTGTATTCTCCGTGTTAGTAGAAAACGTTGTTATAAAAAAATAATGGGTTGTAGATTGTGGAAGCCTGAATGATATATTTAATAAGAGAATTGTTTTCAAAGAACAAATTAGGTTTGTTTTTTTAATTGAATAAATTTTTGATCAAATTGGTCTCAATTTTTCAATGCAAATAAATGTTCTGTTTCTCATTAAACACAGAAAAGATCGTTTGAACAGAATAATGATTCACAAATAACAAGCTTTCTTACAAAATGACGTAAAATCATCGTAACTTGTGTTCTTCTCTGACCTTTTCATATAAAATATAGAATGCATATCCGATTCTTCTAAAGGTCAGATGCACAAGGTGTTTGTCTTCAAAATAATATCGACATTTGATTGTAAACAGTTAATTTAGGATACATTCACAAGATTTCTACAAATTGATGCCAAACTTCTCTCAAAAAAATTCTAAATGACTCGAAAAGAAAAAAACTTCGCTGTATGCAAATCAACAGATCTATAAAAATTTATGCATAGACTATCTCTTTCATAGAAAATAATTGTTGATTAAATAATGAATGTGAATCATTATTGAGACAATCTTCTATAAATTCAAAAAGCTTTAATTTTGATATATTGGATACACATAGATTGATAATCGAATAATTTAAATCATTTGTAGATATGATATAATTTGTTTCTTTACTATTTTGATATGAAATTTTCGTAACAATTAATTTAATAAATATTTTTAAAATAAACATGAAGCTCGAATACATCCATGTGTAATACATTGTTGAAAAGTTGTACAAATACTTGAAATTTCTTGTGTATCAGCTTCAATTATCAACGATTACAATTCAGGAAGTCTTGTATTGTGTGTTTGAAACAAATTAAGAAAATGATTTAATAGACGACTATTTTGAACTTCATGCTGAATAAATAATGGTTAGAAACCATTTCCGAATATAGGTTACGCACTTCTTTAAAAAACTGCATATTAATGATTAGTTTGTTGCAAATCATTTGCCAACAGTGAATACTTCAGATAAGGAACATCTATTAAACATAGTTGAAATTACTTATTTTAATATGTTCTCTTTCTTGAAAAATATAGTAAAATAGATTGTTTTTTTTTTTCTCAATAAAAGTAAAATTTCTGCACTTATCATACTAAACTTAACGTTAAATATCAAATTTATTATAATAAATTATGAAATTTCAATGACAAATGTCATTTCTTTGTTGGAATATTTTCTAATTATACATGATAAAGAAAAAAAATATCAACAATAGAGACGTTAATAGAGTTTTAACAGATGTCTGATCTATGAGCAAGAAAGAAATCATGAACCGCATGTTCGATATATCTTGTCATCAAATATTGAATAAGGAAGTTTTTTTTTCTGTATTAAATATAAAGATCTGAAATCTACCGTATACACGAAAATTGTCTTCAGATTGTGTGTTTTTTCAACAACACCTATTTGAAGAGAAGAAAGATGATTTCTATGTTTATCACATATAAATTCTTTCAAATCCACATTTGTGGAAAGAGATATACTCTACACGCTCTGTTAATTAGTTCAAATTTGATAATTGCTGATGAGCAATTTAGTCGAAAATGCAATGAAATAAATTCTTGCTAATATCTTTTTCTTTTTGTTTGTTAAGATACTTTTCGGCATATCTTTCTGTTGCGTTTCAAAGTTATGTTTGATTATGAATGTTTTATCATATCGAACAAGTTGCTTTTTTTTTGTTTAAAAGATAAGTATGTCAAGCTTTTATTTTTTAATTCAAATAATCATTATGTTATACTCGTTAACAATTATATCTATGTAATATTTTTAGTAAAATAATAAGAATATAAAAATAGTATCAGTTTAACATAAAAGCATGAAAGTAAATGATTTTTTCATGAATGGAAGTAATATGATGTAAAATTAAAAGCTTTTATATTATAATAGCAACTCTAAATAAGCCGACCTTCAAAATTATATTATAAGATTTATTTCAAAAGGATTTATATTGTAGATTTATGTCAAATTCTCATATTCTTTCGAATTAAATAATTGATCCGAAAATTTTAGATTTTTTAGCACCCAATCTGTCTTTTTAGGTAATGATCTCATGGATTATATCTATTGTGGTTGATATTGGATAAGATAACATGTCATATAAAGCTTTTTATAAGGAAAAAAATCTATGATTTCGTGTAAAAATTATATATTCTTTCTAAAATATGCAATAGCGTCTTGAATAGCTTTTTCACTTTGTTGATTAACTTGAGGAGATCCGTCTGGTCGAACAACAAAACCATGAACAGTACCGGGATATTTGAGAAATATTCCAAGACCATTTGTAGTTAATTCTTTTTCAAAGTATTCTTCAATATCCGGTGTAAAAAGAGGATCAGTTTCTGCACATAGAAAAAGAATAGGTCGTCGTATTTGTGTAGCTTCTTCTTTCACTAACATTGATGGATGTCCCACTATGGCTGCTTTTATTGTTGATGATAATTCTGGATGTATTATTAAATAAACTACTACTTTACCACCATAACAAAAGCCGATTACCTAAAATAAAATAAAATTTAAAACTATTTATTTTCTCAAAGACAAATTTTCAATATTACTTGAATTGATTCATAATGTCCTTTAATAGTTGAAACAAATTTATCTGCAATTTCACATGCCTCAGTTACTGGATGTCTTTTTCGCCAATCAGGTAACAAGTCCCTATAATTGGGTATATTATGATCCATTGGATCTCCATGAAAATAATCAGGAATAAGAACTGTTGTACCAGTATCATTAGCAAAACGATCTGCTAGTTTTCGAGTATTGATAAAAGTATAACCAAAAATGTCAGTAAATAAAACAATAGCCGATTTTCCTTGACCTGTTTTATAAAAATTTATTCCGGCCACTTGCTCTTCATGGCCTTGAGGTTGATGAGTTTGTTTTGCGCCAGGATCCGCACAATGCGAAGTATCCATTACATTTAAAGAAAATAATCTTGAATATAAATCAAAATGCCAATAATGTTACACTCTCTTATAATTTCTTAACAAAACATCACACTTTGATTACGAGTGATTTTATAAATAGTAAATCGAGCAAACATGATATTTACGTAATTGTCTTATCATTCTTTTTTTCTTCTTGTCTACCAGTAGCTTTTACAAGCGTCCAGATGACGCTCGTACTCCGTATAGAATAACAAAAATTCAATCGAAATTGTCTTCAAACATAGTCAAGATATTGATACGAATCATACTATTTTTCTTAGTTAAACTTATATTATCGTATCAAAATTGTTAGCACTTATTTTAAACATTGAAATTTAGAATAACATTACAAAAGTCGAAATGAATAAGAACATCTTTGTTTGGATTCTATTCGACTCATACTTCGACAGAAAAATGATATTCTTGTTTTCGCACATATTATACCTACTACTTACTTTCTAAAGTCTTCTTTTTAGCGAATCATCTATTGTTCAGTTCTAGTCACCTTTTATATATTTAATCTATTCATATACATATTCAAAGGTCATTTATCTATTTAAAACAAAAAGCATGAATAGAAATCATTAGATTTTATACAATTAGGTTACACATTAAAGTTCATTATTAATGAACCCGAAAAAAGATGATATAAATGACGCTTGAAAGATCTGAATTTCATATTTCATGTTGTTAACTATTAAATAAAATTGCTAATTCAAAAGTAGTACGGTGATTCTTTAAAATACGTATCACGATTACATTGTATTTAACCGAAGTGTTTCAAACTGCCAGTAGTAGTAGAATATAATGTCCTGTCACTAAAGATCATCATCAAAAGTTCTTAAAATGAGCTCTTAGTAGCTTCTCACTCTCGATGGAAAGAGTTCTCCTAGCCAAAATTCGATTTCAAGTACTCGTACAATATCTTACATCGTTTTGACTAAAGGACCGATAAATTGTGGACAACATCGCAGAGAATATCGATCTTGAAAAAATGCCTCCATATTCCTTTTGTTTGATTTTCTACCAAGCGCATCATATACAATTGCGGAGCTGTCGATTAGTTCAAGTGAAATGCCTGATACGCTGATCTAGAATCATGATATGGAAAACGCATGCTAATTGCTGTTAATAATTCTGTTAGTTTTCTTTCATTTACTATGGGCATTTCCATTGGAAGCGTACCATAAAAACACAAAGATCTCAGAAAATGTTTTGAGATATCAGAGCTTGTAGAGCTTTTTGTGCTGATCATTTTGATAAAAAAAATTTTTCTTTTCATCAAAAAATAACGGCGCTAGGGTCGAAATACTGAAACATAAAAAGTCGTATCGGTTACTTGTTTTTTTGCAGTATTTTGACTCTACCAACGTTATTTGTCAATGAAATAGGGCAAAATTTTATGTCAAAATGATCAGAAAAGAAAGCTCTACAAGCCCTGATGCCTCAAAACATTTTCTGAAATCTTTGGGTTTATATGTCTGGCTATCTATGACTATCCATATTCAAAAAGTTGATCACCATATAAATCAAAATGGCTATATTCCTGCACAATGGGACTTTGTGGGTTTTGTAGCGCGGAGTCTGTTCTACAAAAACCTTATACACGGCAATCGAAACACGCCGACAAAATAGTGCGTAAAATTCGACAAAACACTAAGGACTATGATTATTTCGGAAAAAGAAGATCATTTATGCATATTGCTTTGAAATACCATTTATTTGAGCAGAAAATTGTAGTATGGTGACATCTGAGAAGTCGAACGATAAAGTCGAAGAAGATTTCTAAGTCTATTTTGACGCAATTGAGAGCATCTGAATAGTGATTTCGACGGAAACTTTTGCTAGCTTATTTTTTCTGCAATGGAGCGAATAATTTATAACTCTAGTTGAAAAATTGAATCATTTTTGAAAGATTTATTATGTCTACTGGATCTTGCTTAAAAAATCTTTGTTTTAGAAAGTATAACACTTGAGATATTTCAGTTACAAAAAGTGTGAATATCATTAAACTGTTCGTTTGACAGGAATAGCTGTGTTCGACGACCAGACCCTGGTTCACCGAGAAAAGAGGCAATAATATTGTTCCATTGAACTGTGTGGGTGTAGGTGTGCGTGTGGGAGTGGGTGTGGGGTGCGGGTGTGGTGCGGGTGTGGTGTGGCTGTGGCTGTGGGTGTCGATGTGGGTGTGAGTGGGTGTGGCTGTGGCTGTCGATGTGGGTGTGGGTGTGTGGTGTGGGTGTGGGTGGGTGTAGAGTGTGGGTCTTTTCAATTGCACCCACACCACACATACACCCACACCCCACACACACCCACACCCCACACACACCCACACCCATACCCGCACCCCACACACACCCACACACGCACCCGCACCCCACACACATCCGCACCCCACACACACCCACACCCAGAATCGCACACCAACACCTCACACACACCCACACCCACACCCCCATCCCACCCACACTCACATCCTTTAATGTTATACCGTGTTTTTTTATCGAAAATATAAAGGATTATAATACTAGCATTTAGAAATAATGATTAGACTTATATTATAAAAAACTTGAATTAACTCGAAGTAGCTTCCAGTAACTTCAAGTGGCTCAAAGTACTATTCAAGTAGCCTAAAGTAACGCTCAAGTAGTTCAAAGTAACTTCAAGTCGAAAAGTCCGCCGTTTCTCCCTTGACAAATGTATTTAGTACCAATGTACTCTGTAGGCCCTTTTCGAGAACAATCCTAGGTAGGTTTCTCATCTTGAACTTTTTTTCCTTTCATAAGGTTTTAAGAATCTCTTCTCTATAAAGAAAGAGATGCTATGTAAAAGCATATTTTCCACTACTTTACGAACCTCTCTCAGTTGCAGAGGGGCGTATTAAGACTGAAGAAAAATTTAGTCGAAATGTTTTGGAACAGTTTCCAGTTCTAATCTTACTGGTTAGAACTGAAAAAGATTTCAGAAAAAAGTATCCGAAGTTGGGATCAAAAAGACTTCTATATAGCACCTTTATGTTGTAGAGCTATCTATTGTACATTCTAACAATCCTAAAGTAACCTCAAAGTAAAAAAAGAAAGTTGTTAGTACAATCTCATCGGTGCTCAAATCGGCACTTCAAAGCAAAACAAAGCATGTACTTAAGTAAAAGTACAAAGTACAATCTTTAAGTACACAGTATTTGTACTGATACTTACTGTACTGGTACTGATATAATGTCTGATTCATGTAATGTATTAACTTCATTTGATACATTTATGATCAACTAATTTATTTCCTGATCATTCATTTCTTTCTGTTTATTCACGTTTTAAACGTTTATATGGTTCGTTTTCACTTTCCATACTTGTTTGAAATTTATGTACTTAACTTTTGGAATATTATTTTCGTTGTAGATTCAGTTTGAATATATGTAACAGGTTTTTTTTTCTTCATATCATGTTCTAATGAACTTGTAAATCATGAATTTAATGCATACGATTGTGTAATTGTTCATAAAGTTCCACGACTCGAACTTCAATCAAGATGACCAATATCCCTGTTTCATCTCTGACGACGCTTAAGAGAAGAAAACAAAAATTTAATTACACATTAAAATAGAGCAATCAACAAAATTATAAGAGAAAAGTATTTTTTCATTGGTTTCTATCAGAGCTGCCGGCCTGCCCTGTGGCCTGGCAGGCGCCTGGTAGGCACCAGGCCAGGCTGGATTTTGAGATTCTGGCCTAGCCTGATCAGGCCGAAAAAATTTTGACCTGGCCTGCAGGCAGGCCAGGCTAAACTTGGTTGCCTGGGTCATTTTCTTTGTATTATTTTTCCTTATCAATTTTAGCAAGACAAATACATTCAATTCCAGCAACTAGTACTGGCATAGAATGGCAGTTTATTATTGTAGTCGGAAGATTAAAAAAAGAAGATATATGGTGGATTCGAACATCCAATTCGAAAGTATTCAGAACTCGACGAACACCCTGACGGCAGACTAGAACACTGAGATAGACTCATGTCAGTTTATACAGTCTAAAGCACAGATTGACTCCCGTTCATCCACTATATGATCAGAGACCATTCGCTATCAAATGACTTTCACTAGTCTGCAATGTCTAAAGTAGTAGTCAGGACAAGTGCGAAGCATCGTCTACACTAGTCATGGCTAGTCCTTTTTAAAACACCATGTCGCCTACCTCAATCCAAATTAAACTGAAAAGCTCTAAACAACCCGCTTTCTTTGTACTAAATATATCTTCTTAATTCGTTTAAATTGATCAGTAAAGAAGAGTAAAAGAAGTATAGTGCACCTAAAAAAAATCTCAATAGGTGTATCATTTATCAAATAATTGATGGATCATCAAATGCATTTAGCATATATATTAGATAGGAGAACACCAATCGTTTTATTTCCTGTCTTGTTCTCAAATCTTCATAAATTGATAACTAAAGACGATCTCTTGTGTTATGATTAAGGAAATTAATAACATGCATTATTATTTTGTTTTAAAATTATGTCTATTATCACTAGTATCATCAATTTTTCTCTTTCTAGAACGACAATCAGAGAGTCTGCCATAATCAATAGCGAGGGCAAAGACAAATGTTATACTTTATGCATTCCTGTCCTAATATATTTGATTATATTTTGTATTTTTATATGTTGAGAATGTAAAAGTAAGAGTATATCGAAACAAAGGAAAGTAAGAATAAGTAGAGAAAGCAATGTTTATTTCGTAGCGAGGAATCCTAATTCATGTTGTTTAAAACTCTCAGGTATTCTAAATTTAAAAACATCTTCAAAATAATTTCAATATTTTTATATCGTAGTTTTATATTATTTTATTTTAAATATAAATTCTAATAATTTTAACTTTAAGAATATGAATTTAAATGCATCAAAGTTAATTTAATTGTTAGTTGAAGATGAGTAGTAATTTAGATTTCACACTTAACTAAATCATGATATGAAAAAATCTAGTTTCCTTTGAATATAAGTA